TTTTTTAAATTAAATGCATGCTTGGTTATGACCCTGGCGCTTTATAATTACAATTAATATTGCATTTCCCATGCTGACTGGCTTACATGTTACTGCAGAGGCGTAGCGAGGGTGTTGGGCGCACGGGGACAAGATCCATTTTAAAGCGCCCCTTTTTTTCAACTCTCAAACCCATTAATTTCATCAATAAAATAATATCAAAGCACATTTTGGCGCCCCTAACTAGTTGGCACCCGGGGACATCTGTCCCCTCCTGCCCACCCTCGCTACGCCTCTGTGTTACTGTGTTATATAGCTAACGTTTGCGTGTGTGTGTCTCTTTTCTAAGGTCTCTCGTAGAGTCCAATAACAGTAACGTAATTTAACACTCATTGACAGTAAGAGGGCTCGGGTGGTATAAAAGTGAAGATTGGCTTAACCGAAGTGGATGAACTGTCATGGTAAAAAGGTGGGGGGGGGGGGGTATCTCCAACGTGCCCCTTCCCTGCCCGATATTCNGTAATGTAACATATCTGAAGGATGGCTAGGATGACATCGCCATGGTGATATTAATATGTATTAAAATAACAAGCGTACGGGGATGTCAGAAAATGACAATTGCCCACCAACGAGCGACCATCAACGCTAACAGACATAAGGAAGATCTAAGAAATGTTTGACTTTTTTTTTTTTTTTTTGGTTTAATTTATGGGTTAGGGCTGTGGTTCTCAACCAGTGGGTCATACTCCCCTTGGAGGTCACCTGAAAAATCTTTAGGGGTCGCTTGAGAACAGGACGCAGTAACTTTTGGCAATCTTCGCCATCAAAATGGTAATTTGAACAGATAGGTTACCTTACACCCCACCTTCATCATCACGCACACATATCATTAGTATCCCTTTATTGGTCCCTGAAGAGCATCCATAGATATTATAATTGTTAAATAAATTGAACTCAGACGACAAGAGTATTGCGCCCCCCCCCCCCCACCCTTTAAAAAAAAAACATCAACCTTTTACAAACCCTGCTTGAAAATAGCTTCTAATAGTCTTCTATTTTTAGATACGGTAATTCCTTTTTTTTTTTAAATGGGGTTTCCCCGATATGTCGACGTCAGTTTGTGTCATTCTATGAACTCGCAAGTTCAACATTTAGAGGCTAGAGGCTACTTACAATTCATAGTGAGCCTATTATTAAAAGAAATGAAGAAATGGAGGGAATAATAATTGACACAGATACGAAGCTGAGGGGGACGTACACGTCACGAATGTTTTCACAGGTAAGACATTTAAAAAAAAAAAATTACATTGTTATAACAACTGTATTATTTTTAAACACACGTAGGATCGATCAATCAAGTCAGTGAAACATAACACTATGTTTTCTCATCTATTTTTAGATTATTGGCAGGCCGGCTTAAAAACGATTCAATCATAGCATATCCGCTTCGGTCGGTACAATTGTGTTGTTTGTTGGGGTTGAGTTCAGGGGGCGGTAAACCTTAGTAAGGAGCAATTTAAAAAAAAATAAAAATAAGGACCTGATGGGTTATAATGAAATTATTATTAGACCATCAGTGTTTTGGATGTCTTCATTTTGACGACTTCCTGATGCATCCGCCAAGAAATTATTTCGGCGGCCGAAATTTTTGTCTTCTTCAGATTGGTTTTGGAAAGAAAGAGCCCGCGTCTGTTCAGAGCCGACCACCGTGTTAATTCGTCACAAGGAATTGCAGGTTTGAGAAAGTATAATAAATACTAATAACTGAAACCCGTTGAACTTTTCTCCACCCCCCC